GCTACTTGAGGGGGATGAGCATTTTGAGGTTGCGGACATCCTCGACTCCAAACTAAAATGTGGTAAGCTCTGGTACCTCATTGAGTGGGTGGACTTCGGACCCCAGCACCGCGAATGGGTGGAAGAAGGGGATATTCGGGCCCCTTATCTGATTCGTAAGTTCCATAAGGAGTTCCCGGACAAACCGGGAGGCCTCCCGCCCTGCCCGGGAGAGCTCCCGCCCTGCCCGGGAGACGGAGGGTAAGATGTGTTTTGGAGGGGGCAGTATGTCAGCAAGCTGCCATTGTGTTCTGTGTTTCTTGTACGCTTGTACAGTTCATCCCCCCCCCCGCCTGCTAGCCTGTATTTTATTTTGCTGTAATGCTAAGCCGAACATCTGGAGGACATGGTGTAGGAGGAGAGCTTGAATGCTAGCTTGTTGCCTTTAGAGCCTGGGAACTGCACCTGTATTATGTCTGGAGATAGTAGTGTTCCCAGGGATTGAGCGCGCAACCGTTTCCCTTTACCCGCCAGCGGGAAAGTGATCCATTGGTTCGGTACCTGGTTCAAATCCCTTTATTATACTTGCCCTGGCTGTTTGTACCCATTCCTAACAAAGGACTTGTTTGAGTATCTTTCCAAAGATAAATTTTGCTTTTCTGAAACGTGGATTTATTCTCGATGCTTGGGGATCCAACAAGAGGAGGAGTTCCCCGTGGCCTTCCTCACTGCTGCTGCACACTGAGTTGGCATTTTCACCAAGCTGCCCATTACAACCCCAAGATCAGTTTCAGTCTTTGCCAGCACAGAGGAAGTGAGGATCTTTTGTTCCAGTAGAGCATCACTTTGCACTTGCCTACGCTGAACTTTATTTGCCACGGTTTTGCCTGCTCTTCTAATTTAGAGAGGTTTCACTGGAGCGCTTCACAATCCATCTGGTTTTGACTTGGCTTCTGCCCTGCCCCCCTCACTCACAATTCCAAATAAGAACAAATTAAGCAGCACCAGTCCCAATATCAGTTCTTGCACGGTGGCACCTGGAGATCTCCTGCTATTACGGAGGTGGTCTCTGTAGCATCGGGCCTGCCATGGCCCCACCCACCCCTCCCCAGGCTCCACCCCCCAAAATCCCCAGGTATTTCCCAACCCAGAGCTGGCAAGACCCCACTGCTCACTTCCTCCCAATGTGAGAACTGTCCAAATAGTCCTACTCTTGGCTTTCTGCCATTTAACCAGTTGGATCCATGAGTCCCTGCTGGGGGCAAATAATCGCAACCAGTCCCATGCGCCTGCCTGGGGGGGGGGGACAAGTGCATGCTTGCCAGGCAGACGACTGTGGCTTCAGCACATAATGACCCGACCAAGGCAAGGATCTCAATTCTGCCCTCTTCCCGTGAGATCACCAGAAAACCGCTCAGTGCAGAAGAACGAATGGCCCTCAGGCTGGTGGTGGACAGCACTGTCAAGTCGCAATTGGCATCTGGTGACCCAGGAGGGCTTTCAAGGCGAGAGACGTTGAGAGGTGGTTTGCCCCGTGGCCTGCCTCTGCTTTGCCACGGCCTGGGCTTCCTGGGTGGCTCCCACTGAGCAGAGCTGGCCCCGTTGAGCGTCCGAGATCTGGCGAGAGTGGGCCAGCCCGGGTGAAGCTGCCCTGCTAGCAGGGGATGGCGACTTTTGCCCTGGGCCCGGTGCGGTCATCCCAGGGTGGCCACCTTGCCCGTGACATGCTCTTGCGCACGGCCAGTTTTCAAGTCAGTTCCCATTTTAAAGAACTTTTTCTCTTTCCAGGGTGCACTATCATTTTGGAGAATTTGGAAACTATTCTCTGGTAGTGCGGACTGACCATAGCAGCCAGAATGTTTCGTGCAACATAGTTATCAATCAAGAGCCCGTCAACAGCTACCTCCGTAAGTCACTTCATTTATTTAGGCATTCAAACCCCCCCCCCCTTTTCTCCCTATCTAGAGACTCAAAGTAGCTTACAAAAGAAATGCTAAAATACATCCTGGACGGAAATGTGTGCCCTGAGATGGTCCAGCGTTGTTGGCATGTGCTGGTTTCACTCGTCTGGCTCACTCGGGGCCACCGGTGAGGAGCCCCCGGCCAAGGGCCTGAGCATCCAGAGCTGCTTCGGTTGCGCGTGTGGGCAGGCCCGGTCCCGGTCCCCGCAGCAGAGGATGAGCAGGAGCTCAGGCCGGGTCTCAGGTGGCCAAGAGAGGGGGCCCAGCCTCCCCCCCCCGCGTCATCCTCCCCTCTGCTGTGTCCGGTGGGGATTGCTGAGGACTCCCTTTGGTGGGGACGGTGCTTCTGCGGGCTCCGCCTGTCTGCGGAGGATCTGGCCAGCAACTCCCATCATTCTCTTCTTGGCTGTATTGATTCTGAGGCCCGGATGTGAGGTCCGTGTGTCTTTCCGCCCCCCCCCCCCCAAGCTTTTGAAGTTAGAAGCAGAAAGGAGAGGGGAGTGGCTGTTTTAACCTTTCCCACTTCAGCCAGTTTTTTTCACTCCGTTCTTTCCATTTCTGGGAGAAATTGTTGTATAATTCCTGCCTGCTGATATTTAAAAGAAATGTGGAGACAGATTCCTGAAGCGGCTTGCCACCGCCTGCTTCCCTTTGGACAGCCGTGTCTTGGCTGCAGGGGCCAGCCCTTTGCCTCTGGGCCCCACGTGGCCTGCTGGCCTCGACCCCGAAAACCCTGACTGGCCTGGGACTGAGATGCCTGCAGGACAGAAGTCTGGTGATCTCAGCCCTGTGGCCTCTTTGGTAGCAGCGGCAACTCTGACCACTCCCAGAAGCAGGGCCTTCTCAGCGGGGGCACCCAGACTCTGGAGCACCCTCATTGCAGTCACTTACCCGGTACAGGCCTTAGTCTGTTTGTGCTGGTGTGGCGGCTAAGAGTGACAGACTCTGATCTGGAGGACCGGGTTTGACTCCCCACTCCGCCTTCCCATGAAGCCTGCCGGGTGACCTTGGGCCAGTCACAGTTCTCTCAGAACTCTCTCAGCCCCACCTACCTCACAAGGGGCCTGTTGTGGGGAGGGGAAGGGAAGGCGATTGTAACCCGCTTTGAAATCCCTTGAGTTAGAGAAAAGCAGGGTATACAAACCTACTCTCCTTCTTCATATCCACCCTCTGCCCCATTACTTATGTTGCTTTATTTGTCTTGCTCATGGTTTAATTCAGCTGCCGTCTTCATGTGCTTTTATTTAGGTTGTTGTGAGGAAGTTTTCTCTTCCAAAGTAATTTGAATGAGTTATATTATTCGGCAAGGGGTCGTGTGTGTTTGGTGGGGTCTGCATGCATCTGTGCCTGTTTCTACTGTGCCCTGGAGCCTCCTGGCTGAGTGGGTGGGTGGAGGTAGCAGCTTTTCAAATAAATAGTGTCAGCTCAGACTCCTCCACCAGTCAGGAGGGGTCCTTTGCGAGAGCCATGCTTCCCATCCTTTCTGCAGGGAGGGCCGTGCATGTTTTCCTGCTTCCCATTAGAGATGGTTCTCCCGTGTGTCCCCAGCCTGCCTTGCAGCAAGGACACCTCCCCAGCCCTGCTCTGCTGCTGCTTCCTCTTCGTCTTCTTCCCCCTGCCACTCTTCCTCTTCCCCGCCCATCAGCGTGACCAAAGCGGGATTCAGGGCCGTGCCGAGAAGGGGCCTGCAAAAGGACATTTTCAGCGCCCTTCCTGTGGGTGCTGTTTGCATCCTCTCTGTCCCAGTCATGCTGCAGGGCTCTCAGGTATGGTGCAGGTAGTGGCACCTCTGCACTCAGCCCCATCCCTGAACATCTGTCTGTCCTCAACTAGGGGCAGAGCTTTTTCTGCCCTGGCTTCTACCTGTTGGAGCGCCCTGCCGAATAACATCCGTGCCCTGCGGGACTTACTGCTGTGCATCCCTGCTTTGTACGGAATTGTGAGGGGCCAACAGCCAGCAAGAATATTTTGAGCACTTGGAAAAAACTCCTAGACTAACACAGCAATCAGCTAGGTGCACAAAAGGTGCTTTCAGCAGGTGCCCCAGGGTCTATCCTCGTCTGGGAGACAGCTCTTTCCAAAAATGGTAAAAGTTCTCCCAAAGGACCAGGGGACAAAAATATAGTTTTGCATTGTGTAAGGTACCTCAGGTTGCCAACTGGCCAGGAGAAAAATGTCCTGTCTTTTTAACAGAGGCTTAAGTTATAGAAATGGGCAATTACTATCCGGATACTTATACAATTAGTCACTGTGAAAAAGAAATCAGTTTCATATTAATTTGTCTTGATATTATACCTTATGGCCTCTGTTTTCCTCTGTGTTTTTATTTGAATTTTGTGTTCTATCCCGGGACCTCCAGCTAAGGTACATTAACATAGAAGATGGGCTTCAGTTGTCAAGTTTTTACTGATATACAGAGAGACATTCTGGGCCAGAATTCATTTTGTCAGTGCAATAATTGAACCTCTTACTTTCTTTTCGGCAGCTATTTTCTTTGCCTTTCTCATCTATACGGGCATCTTCACTATGCTGGCCTTGGGACAGTTTTGTATAAAGTAAGTAGACCTCTTAGTGAAAACTTTTAAAGTGCAAGTCAAGTCGCTGCCTTCTGCATGTTTTGGTCCTGTTAATGCTGTTCTTCATCTCCTGGAGTTCCCCTCGTTTTTTCTTTGATCTTTCCCAAACCTGCTTTGCTGCATAGTTTTGGGAAAGATTTCAGCAAATCTGGATGGCTGCCATATGAGTGGGAAAGTGTTAAATCCTGGGCTCTGGACGCATTGCAGTGATCAGCTCTAGTTCATTTAGTGATTTCAGGAACACAACAAGGACCCCCAGCAGGGTTTGAGCCCTGCTTATAAAGCATGCAGACACCCCACACCTCACACACACACACACTCCCAAGGATAGGCTATTTACATTACACTGCTTATCTATTGGTCTACTCCAGGATCCTGGTCCGCTATTGTTCTTGGGGAGCAGGCTCATCCAGTTCAAGGTCCACCTTCATGGAATGGCTTGGGCTCAATACATAACAGAAAGTTTGGGGGGGTTGCCCACATGGCAGCCATTCTCCCTGCCCTTTCAGCCACTGCCCTGTGTCTGTCCGTCCTTCTGTCTGTTGAAAAATCAGCAAGTGAGAGAGGGAGCGAGAGGGAAGGGGAGGTGCAGGGCTACTGCTGCAGCCTTTTTTGCCGAAGCACGCATCTCTTAGTTTTTGCCATGTCAGGAAGAAATCAAGGTTGCTAATTCATTGGGTTGCCATAAGTTGGAAGTGACTCGGCACCTCACACACGCACGCACACAGTGCCCCTACACTAAGCTGTATCAACGGGTCTAGATTTTGAGATAAGCTGACAAAAGCTGGAAAATGTTGACCCATAGTGTAATCATAATACACATAGTGTGTCAAATTAATTATGAACAAAATTAGTGATAGTGACATGTAGATAATAAAAATAGCCTTAAAATATGTTGTATGTGTCTGTTGGGAAAGATCTAAATTGCCTTAAGTAGAAAGCCTGGTATTATGCCTTTCTCAGAAAGCATTTTGAGTGAGTGAAACCTCTAAAAATATTTCAGTCTTCCCAAAGGGAAAAAATATTTCTTAATTTTTAAAATATGACTCTCCACATGTTGAATTTTTAGCTGGATGTGTTGGAAAAAAGTATTCAGAAGGGGGGGGGAGGAAAACCCTTACAGATTTTTCTTTCTCCAGTCACAGAAAAAGTGAAGCAAATGTTGATTAATTCTGCATTCATGTACCATATAAACAACAAATACATTGAGCAGTGTACATTTGAACAAATGTCCTCACATGCCTGGGAGAAGAAGGTGAACAACCAGTGACTCTGAGCTGAAGCCCTGTCCTTACATGTCACCAGGAACACTTCCACCTTCGTACAAGGGATAGGCAAATCTTCCTTTTGTAACAAACAGCCAGCAAAGCCGTAACAGAATTATAGGTAAGTTCCTCATCTGTAAAACACAAAAGGCTTCCAAATTTTGGCAGTTCCTCTTCATTTCCAGGATGACATCTCCGGGGTGGCAGACCTGGAAGAAATCCAGAATTAGAGCCGATGTAGTTGATCACAAAGTGTGCCTGGAGATCTGTCTGAAGAATACAACCACCCAGAAAAATCCTCTCTCAAGGATACAGCTTTCAGGAAAACAAATGAAATTGCAAAACCTGTGTCGAAAGATGGTGGCCTCATCAGTGATTCGGCAGGTGGGTGGTAATAAGAATAACAAAGAGAAGATGCATTTACCAAAGCGCCATGGGGCTACAAAACACTTCAGATGACCGGAAGTGTTAAGTATTTAAGAAGGATACAGACAAGCTGGAACATGTCCAGAGGAGGACAACCAAGATGGTGAGGGTTCTGGAGACCAAGTCCTATGAGGAAAGGCTGAAGGAGTTGGGTATGTTTAGCCTGGAGAGGAGACGACTGAGAGGGCTGACATATAGAGCAGCGTTTTTCAACCACGTTTTTCAGCACTAGTGTGCTGTGAGATATTGTCTGGTGTGCCGTGGGAAAAATTCCAATTTCATCCGTAACATGCGGCTTCGGCTCACAAAAAATGACCAATCATTAGATTCTAATCATTAGAATGTTACGGACTATAAATGGCTCCGGTGTCACTGTTACACTGACAGGAGGAGACATCGCAGTAGATCGCCGATGCGCAGAAGAGCGCCAATGGATCTGGACTCTGGAGGATTATCGCGGACGCAGCACAGAAGAGCGCTGAGTGATGGATCATATTTCATTTGGATTTACTTTCACCGGAGATGCAAAGAAACCAACTCCACTGTGCGTGGTGTGTGGTGAAAAGCTATCTAACAGTGCTATGGTCCCAAGTAAACTTAAACGCCATCTCCAAACGAAACACCCTTCGCTTCAAAACAAGAATGCGGACTTTTTTGTTCGCCTGCGTGAAAACACGGAGAAACAGGCAACTTTCATGAGAAAAACCACAAAGGTAAATGAAAGAGCTCTTAAAGCTAGCTATCAAGTTGCTGAACTTATAGCCAAGTCAAAAAAGTCGCACACTGTGGCAGAGACATTAATACTTCCCGCCTGCAAAGCTATTGTAGAGGAGATGCTCGGACCTGAAGCAGCTAAGGAAATAGCCAAAGTCCCTCTCTCAGACAACACAATTTCCAGACGTATTAATGACATGTCTGCAGACATCGAAAGTGTGGTTTTGGAAAAGATCCGTATCAGTGAGAAGTTTTTCAAAGGTACAATTCAGAGTCCTTCAGCCTTGGGGGCGGGGCGGGGCTATCGAGGATAGCAGCCGCATAACTTTGCAGCTCCCGGTCCCACAGTACCCCTTCTCCTTTGAAAAAACGCTTAAACTACCTTGAAGCACACTAAAGCCACCTCCCGATATGGGCAAGAGAGAGCAGAAAAGAATTAAAGGGGTTTCCAGCAATTCTCGGACACTTAAGGATCTTTTTGAGGCTGAGAACAAACGAGGCCTAAACAAGCATACTGAAGACAAATGGCGACGATCGCTAAACCGGCGGAGAGCAGCATACAACAGACATCCGATTCAACAATTTTGGATTATTTAAAGACTATGGAAACTAACCTGATCAATCGTATTACTGCATCCCTCCCCCACTTGCCTCACTTTCTGTTCCGTGGGGGGGTTGGGGAGCTTTCTTTTCCTTTTATTTAAACGCTTAGATTGAACTCACATTCATAGTTGGTCCTCAGACCTCGTTTAAGCTCTGTTTCTTTCGCTCCACCTCCTGCACTTGCCCCGGTCAGCGTCGCTTGGTTCCATTCGGTCTTATAGCACGAAGAACCTTCGGGACGGAGAGGTGCCTCAATTCCCTGGCATCACGCCGGCGAAGACGCAACTTCTTGAGAGTTCCATGGCCAGAGCCCCTTCAGCCGGGTCTCTGGAGGGTGATGATCCTGCGCACCCCCTCCTTCGGCCAGAGCGCAGCTTTACCCCCAGGAGGTCCGGGAGGTGCGACTGCTCAGCGCGCCGCCATAAACCGGAAACCTTGGATTCATGAATTGTTACCAAAAATGTTGAAATGTACTATACCTTATATACCAGAACTGTTCTTATTGAATATACTACCAGAAAATTGTAAAAAGCAAGATTCCTATCTTATTATACATGTAGTGACAGCTGCAAGAATATTATTTGCCAAATATTGGAGAAAAAATGAGGTACCTTCAAAAGAAGAAATTATATTATTTGCCAAATATTGGAGAAAAAATGAGGTACCTTCAAAAGAAGAAATTATAAATAAAATACTTGAAACTGCAGAGATGGACAAATTAACTTTAATTTTGAGAGGACAAATGAAGGAAACTATGAGAATATATGGTCAAGGTTTTATAAACGGATGGAAGAGTATAACAAATAAACCATATGGACATACAGCCGAATCAGAAGAAATTTAGTTATGAGCAAAGATTTATTCAAAAATACATGGTGGAAAATAAATAAATAAATACATAAATAAATAGATAAAAATATAATTAGACAATGTATGAGGTAACTTAACAGAAAAAATAATGTGGTAAATGGAATCCCCAAATTTTGTATATATGTTTGATTGTTTTTTGTTTGTCTCTTATAAAAAATAAAATTGTTTATTTATTTATTTTTAAAGGAAGGAAGGAATTTGCTCCAGGCCAGTTTGGCCTGGGATCTTAGAGGGATTTTTTTATTTATTTATTTATTTATTTATTTTGCCATCTTCTGGGGATGGAGCAGGGGTCACTGGAGGTTGTTATATATTTCCTGCCTTGTGCAGGGGGTTGGACTAGATGATCCTGGAGATCCCTTCCAACTCTATGATTCTATGAAGAAATAAGATTAAATTCATATCAGAATAAAATATTGCAACATACCTATACAATTTTCATGTAAAAATGAGTCTCCAGTGAAGCTTTCTGAGGAAATGGTTTTGTTGTTGTTGTTGTTCAGTCGCACAGTCGAGTCCAACTCTTCGCGACCCCATGGACCAGATCCCGCCAGGCCCTCCGGTCTTCCGCTGTCCTCTGAAGTTGGCTCAATTCCATGTTCGTTGCATCTGTGACACTGTCTAACCATCTCATCCTTTGCCGTCCCCATCTTCTTTGACCTTCAGTCTTTCCCAGCATCAGGGTCTTCTCCAGGGAGTGCTCCCTTCTCATTGGGTGGCCAAATGGTTACGCGCGCTTTAATAGAAGATACAGTTAAAACCGCAGCAAAGGCCTTCAATTTAAGTGGATTTTGGAATATGCCCCATTGTTCTGAAGAGCTACAGTCAGTGTAGTCAAAAGCTCAGTTTCCAGACAAGCTTATCCTGTTTTTCTCAAAACTGCTCAGCGTAAGGGTGTGGTAACATCCACAGTGAAGTCTGAGAAAAACCTGCAGAATCAGTCGGAAGATTTTGGAGAATAGCGGTGAGGAAACTAATGATAAAGTCTGTGGAAAGGGAAGAGGTTAAAAAAATCCTAAAAGATATCATCCTCTTGGAGATAAAGAGGAGCTGTTAAAACTTTGGAAACCCTTTGTGTTTCTTAGATGTGGAAATTATCTC